GGGGGGGGGGGAGGGGAGAGCCTCACATACCGGTGACTGTGCCAGTCTCGATGGCCGGCAGGAAGAGAAGCTGGTCGCCGGTGGAGATGAATCCCCCCAGGATCTGGGCCTGGATGCGGAGGATGCCACGCGAGGAGGCCTCCAGGGTGTCGCGCACGACCAGGCGCACGGGCTGGCGGATGTCCGGCTGCAGCGGCGGCAGGCGATCAATCGCCTCAATCAGTGTGGGGCCCTTGTACCAGTCCGACCCAGGCACGGTGGCCGGATCCACGCGCGTCATCAGATTGTCCCCTTGGAAGCCGGAGCAGGGAACCACCACACCACTGGTAAAGCCGACACCCTGCACATACTTGAGGATGCTCTTACGGATGAAGTTGAATCGGTCGCGACACCAGTCGACCTAGAGGCAAACAAGAGCCCGGGCAGGGGGGGGGGGAGGGGGAGGCAGGAGGCAGGCAGGAGGAGGACAGGACAGGGCGGCATGTCAGCAAGGGCGGGAAGGAAAGGACAGTGGGCCATGCCCAGGGAGATGGGATTCGGCCGGAGGCAGCGGCGGGGAGGGACATGTGCGAACCTTGTCCATCTTGTTGACGACCAAGATGATGGACTTGACACCGAGGCTGGCCATGAGCTGGAGGTGCTCGCGGGTTTGCCCGCCACGCATGAAGCCTGGCGACCAGCGGAGAAGAGTCAGTCATCATGGCTGGCCGCGGTCTAGGGCAGGAAGGGGCGTCCCGCAGGTGGACCGATCGTACCAGCTTCAAAGTTGCCGATCGAGGCATCGAGAATCATCAAAGCCGACTGAGCCTGAAAGGGGCGAGGATGGTTGGTGGCGTTTGTGGCGGGCGTTTCCCCCCCCAAAAAGGATCGTCAGCATCGCCGGCCATTTGCGGCACACGGGCCATGCAACGGAGGATGAGAGGAAATGCCCCCCCCCCCCCCACCCCCGCCCCCGACTCGCCCGATCGGAGGGCCGGACCGCTAACGAACCTGGTTGGCGCCGGCAATCATGTTCGGAATGAAGTCCCGATGCCCGGGCGAGTCGATGATGGTCACCAGGCGGTGGTCGGTGACAAACCGGTTGACAGAGATGTCGGTCGTAACGCCATGCTCGCGCTCGGTCGCCGAGGAGTCCGACACCCAAGCATAGCAGAAGGACCCCATCTTGGACCCGGTGGACTCGGCCTTCATGCTGGGGCATGGGGATGGAGATGGAAGGCCCAGAGGCCGAGGTCAGGAGGAGCGGGGAAAGAAAAAAAAAAGACACCAACAGGGCAAATGCCCGAGCAAGCAGAAGGACGGCAAAAGGGCCCGGCCCACGCACCGGTTAATTTCCTCGGTGCTGACGACACCCAGCAGGTGAAGCAGATGCCCAGTGAGAGTGCTCTTGCCGGAGTCCACATGCCCGGAGACAATGACATTCACCGGCGGGTGGGTGGCGTTGCGCTGGGCCAGGAAGGCCTC